CCTACAGAGAATGGTGCAGAAAGGCCATTATCTGTAGAAGTCATTCAGGTGCCACTATATCATTTCTTTTGATGGACAAAAGATGACCATCTTTGGCTAATAGGCAGAAAGTAGGGAAGTGCCAACTCTCAACTCTCTGTACTCGTACCCAGTTTCTTTTTTACCACATGAAGGCAGCAACAGCAATAGCTCCAACACCTGTGCAGCTCCCCGTTCTCTTTCATATAGAGCTGCATCCATGACACTGAACAGCCTAGACTCTATTCTGAAGTGATTCATGTACCAAAGTCTGGGAATTTTCCATCTTAATCACATCCATTCTTTTTCTTTAGAACAACATGACAGACTGTTTGGCCTTGGAGGATGCAACCACGTGTAGCTTGTCTCCAGACTCTGTCTGTCTGAGGGACATGGCCAATCTCTTTCCCATTTGCTCACCAAGCCAATCTTTAGGCCTGCTCACATCCAAACCAGCCAGTTAGTGTAGTCACTCTTTCTCTGTTCTCCTCCTTTTCCCGTATGATTAGTGTTATGGCTTCTAGTATTTGTTAAGACATAGATTTAAGTCTTTGTTACAGAAACAAACCATTAACTATTCCCAGGAATTTTGAGCATGTAGAGACAAAACACTGACTAGCACAGCAGGTGTGGTTCAGGATGTTGTATTTGAGCTTTGCATCTCAAGGGTGAAGAGGTTTAGGAAGAAAACAATTGTGACATGCCCCCAACATGGGGCATTATCACAATACTGATGTCCACCTGGTGGGTAGGAGTAACATAACTGTGCATTTTACTTTTACATTAAAATTTATAAAAAATGTCATATAAACACTGATGTAAGTGGGTACACCTTGGCTGAGCTGCTACTTGACTGTAGAGGAAATCTCTGGAAAGTGTAGATTGGCTCATTCTCTTGAGAACTCCCAAACTGGGGCTGATAATTCTGAAGGAAGCCTAAGAAATCTTCTCAGCATGCCCTGTTTCTTCATGTAAAAGGCTTAAAAACATGAAATTAGAAACAGAAACTTCAAGCATGTGGATCCATTAAACCAGGGCCTAGTTACCCCAGGAGAACAGGATTAAGAATGTTTGATAAGACTCAGATTTATGGCAGTATCACTTTAGGCCCATTCTGTCTAATAGAAGCATTGAATTATTGGTATTCTACTACTAAAGGACACTTGAGTTATGTGGGCAAATCTTCTAGTTATTAAATAATTCACTTGCACAGTGAATTCAGCTCTGCTGCTTGTTGAATTATACCAAGAAACACCCAGCCAAACAATGTTTGCTTTATATATGTGGGCATCGTTTTCCAGATAAACTTTTGTGTGTAGAGTACAATTTGCAGACTCTGTTTGGAGGAGGTGTTTGATGTGGAAGAACCTTATGCATATGTATATATATGTACACACACATGTACGTGGTTATATAAGAGAGACATAGGATGATTCAGTGTTTTGGGCCTGCCCTTCTCAAGCACTGGACCATATGTATAGAGGTAAGACATCCTGCTTGCCCTTGTGCTACCCAGTGCCAGGAGGCAGCTTAGAGCACTGTTACTGTCCTGAGTTATGCTTCATCCCTTGCTCTTGCCAAATATCCACACATGTACACCATGCAGCAGGCCTACACATTGTTACAGATGCTTACCTCAGCTCCACAGTCAACATCTGCAGGGGCAAGACCACAGAAAGGAGTTGTAAGGTCCTCATTATTGATGAACACAACACAAATGGTGAAAGTAACCTTTTATTTGCATGTGATATAGAGACATACACACTGCAAACACATGCCACACATCATAAAAGGACAGGATACTTGGGACATCGCAGCAAAGAAACATTAACATCTGCTTTTAATAACCAGCATAAATAGTACATGCTCTGAGTTTCTCATGGTGTTTCTGAGCAGGATTCCAGAAGAGCTGCGCACATGGCACAGCCAAGCTCACTAGCACCATCCGCACACACTGCCAAAGGGATCCCACTTCAGCTCCCTCACTGCCACCCTGCCCATCTCTGCTGCAAGAGGAGTGATGTGCCAGGGAACTGGACTCCCTCAGGCTGGTGAGAAAGCCAAAAGAGCCAGAGGGGGGGGCTTCGGAGGAAAGATGGAGCTTTCTTTCTCCAGGGGTCCCAAGGGTGTGACGTGGG